CCAAAAAAAATTCCATTGAATGTTTAGCATTTTAAATGAAAACATTTTTTTCTCAGTTCTACATTAATGTCACCAGCCTTTGAATGAGAATTTTAAATTAATTTCTGCTCAAAAGAAAATGCTTCATCTTTGTGTTTAAATTCACGATAGTATTCTGTTTGAAATGAGAAGCATTAAAATATTTATGAAAGTTAAAATGGCGTAGAAGAAAATAAAAAGTAAGAATTGCACTTTGTAAATGTTATATCCGTCTTTTGGATGATGTTCATTGAAGTTAAAACGAATTGAAAATGTAAATTTGTAGTGTAAAATTACAATATCCATACGACACCCTAAAACAAGAAATGAAAAAATTCCAATAAAAAATATTAAAAAACGAACCAAACATTCCACATTAAAAAAAAGCTTCATAATCGTTAATTCTGTGAGTGCGTGCAAGCCAAGATGCTTGCAGAACTGCAAATGTCATCGCAATTGCCATCATCATAGCTTCCACTGGATTGATTCAATTTGAAAGAAAACTCCCGCCCCTTACAATAGATTGATGACGACAATTTCAATAACTTAATTTATACGTTATCGAGTTACAATGATACTCATTGAACTCCACTAGAGAGTGACTGAAGGAATGGTTTATAAAGAAAGAGAAAAAAAGAGAACAGGTAAGGAGAGAAAGAAAGAGAGGGAGAGAGGGAGAGAATTGTTGAAAGGAAAATAAAATTTTAATAGTGAAAATGAGAGTAATGGTGTCAGGAAGAGCAGATGCAGCTGCCAAAACGTCATCACATGTCAATAATTTTAAGCGCTCCATCCGCTCTATAAATTTATGATGAAAATAAAGATAAAAGTAGGAATAAAAAGAAACATTTCAAAATAAAAATTAAAAATTTTAATGAGCTCTTTCAGGTTTGAATATTTTCTCTATTGACGTTTGTTAACTTGTCTGTTATATAATTGCAATTTCATTTGTTCTACTTGATGAAATTTTAAATTTAAAAACTGTTATTTAATATTTCACTTATGAAGATAAACTCACACAAAGAAAGTTTATCTCGACCTAGTTTCAATTTGCAATTGAAACGTTGGCTGGTTATAAAATGCACACGTAGGCATAGAGCGGATGGAAAAATTTGATACTGAAAATAATTTTAATTGGCTGTTAAATTGAAAAAGAATATTGTGTAATCACACACGCATACACACACACACACACACCACACACACACACCACACACACACACACCACACACACACACACCACACACACACACGCACATACACACACACCACACACACCACACACACACACGCACATACACACACACCACACACACCACACACACCCACATACACGCACATACACACACACGCTCTCTCTCACTCTTCCTTTCTCTCTCTCTCTCACTCACACACGTA